AGACGGCTTTCTTATTGCCTCTTAAAGCAGCTTTCTAGCTATTCTAAGTTTTGTTCATGGTTTAAAATTGCGCAATATGAGTGATGTGAAACTACTAGGAGTTACTTTTAGAAAATTAGAAAGAAAAAAGATTAAAACTCTGCTCATTTAAATTTAATGCTAGCACATAAAAGTGAGTTAAGAATTTGAAAATTTTAACTTGCTTAGGCCAAAAGACGTGCAATAGAAAATAACCAGGACAATTCTTTCAAAGTTCAAGGAAATTTAAATGCAAAGTACAATTAACAAAATCCGACGCTTAACAATGAGAGGTTCACCTCAAGAGCCGTCTCACTCAATTATTTGTAAGATTTTCGCGGAGAAAGATGACCCATACGATGAAGGATATTACCACTAAAGAGAAGGCGCCGAAGAACTTCGTTGGTGGAGAGGTAGCCGGTGGAGATGAAGGTAGTGGGTGACCGACGATGCTCCAATCGTAGTTTGAAAGTTGGCGGTTGATGACGCTTGCAAGAGTCGGGACAACTCGCTCTAAATATTCTCCAACGGCGGCGTCGTCTTCAAATCCCACGTCGAAAAACGGAGATCTTAGGATGTTGAGGCTTCCGTCGGCGTTGAATACAAGGCCCCACTCAAATTCTGGATCCTCCATGCATGCTTGACGTAGGGAAGAATTCCAATAAGAGGAAGGGAAAAGAGGTGGAGAGAGGAGAGTAATTGTGGTGTGCGTGGACGAAAGAGGGAGAGGAGGGTGGGCGGCGGGATTCCCAAGGAGAGAGGGGAGGCCGGCGGGTGCAAGGGGGAAGGCTAGGGTTTGGAGAAATGAGGTTTAGGAAATTATGGAGGGGATTAATCAAAACTGAAATTTAATTTCAGTTTTGAGTAACTTGGGAGGGAATTGACTTGAAATTTGAATTTCAAATCAAATGGAATTAAAGCCTTAATTGGGGAATTAATGGGGAGCTAAAGAGGGGGGAGGCCGATGGTTTCAAGAGAGGAGAGGGAGGGGTTTTAATAACAAATCCTGAAATAAATTTCAGTATTTGAAATTTGGGAGGGAGTTTTATTTGAAATTAATTTTTAATTCCAAATGGGTGAGGGATTAATGGGGCAATTAAGGAGGGGGAAGCCTAGTGAGGCTGGCGACATCATGAGGGAGAGGGAAAGGGGAGGAAGCAAGTTACAAACCTTCCAAATTTGCTTGTTTGCATGAGGAGGTTTGATTATGAAATCCAATTTGATTCGAATTTCGAATTGATTTGAATTTGAAAACTTTCAATATTTGGCTTTGCCAAATTTGGAAATTTTTTTTAACTCAAATAATTTTGAATTTTCAAAATTCGAACAAGTGGGGAGTGGGGAAGAGGGTCGACGGTGGAGGAGGTAGTGTGGTTGGCGGCCAAGAGGGGTTAGGTATGGAGGGTTGGGAAAGGATGGGGATCAGATGATGGGGATAGACCACGAGTCACGGACTCTTCCAATGACTGGCGGGTATTGCTTTTCGCCCTCACCTTGGGCTCTCGTTCTCCTCTCTAGTGCACCACAAGAAGAAGAAGAAAAAGATGACAAAATAAGATTTCATTCAAAATATTCATTAACCTCCATACAACACATGAGACCATTATATATAGGTCTCAACTCATAAAAAAAGTACGAAATTGCCCTCTGGGCTATAATAACAAAGTAACTCCCCACAGGGGTAAAAATGGAAAAAGTGCAAAATAAAAAAAAAACACATCATGACATCTGAATCAAAAGTAGAGGCTAAATCGTGGCCGTCGATCTGCGGTTTCGCCGGCGATAAACATGTCGGTAGCGTCTGTCGATGTCCTCATCAATGAGGCTCGCCTTGAGGCACGCCTTTGCGCAATTCCAGTAAAAAAACACCTTGATGCTTACGTCTCCAGCTTTTTTTTATGAGCCTTGCGCCTCAACTTGGTTGAGGCCCGCCTCGCCTCACTGGCATAAGGCTTACGCCTCATGCTATATATATTAAAACTTACATAAATCTTGAAGTAAATGTCCGACATTTGACTCTATAGGAGAGGAAGGGAAGAGACTAGTTCATCATAATGATGATTCAAATGAAGAACGCCTTAGTGATGACAGTGTTGATGATTTATGAGTTCTTATGTGATATGCCATTGCTATTTATTTTTGGAAATGGGAATTATATGTTAATGAAAAGAATAATGGTATTTGGGAAAGATAGAATTTTGAGTTGAACTATATTTCATGTTGTCTTATTGTTGAGATATTTTGATTTCAAGTCATATCTTATGCTTTTTATGTTTTATATTATTCACTCATTAGTATATAAAAAATTTATCATTTTATGTTTACACAATCTCTTGATTTTGAGGCTTACGCCTCAAAACGCCTTGAGGCTTACGCCTCGCCTCACGAATGAAAAACGCCTCAATACCCGAATACGCAATTTTAAACATTGTCAGCAACTTATAACCATCTGCGCACATTCGGTTGTCTATGTTTTCCATGGCTTAAAGGGTATCAATGCTTGAACTTAATTACCAAACAGATTTACATCTCTAGACACGTCATTTTTCACGAAAATCAATTCCCATTCAAATCAAAACAAGACTCTGTTCCATCAATATCCGTGGACAACAATCATTCACCTTTGCTGTTAGTCCCATCCTCCACTATCTCTCAACACTCCAGGCTCGTCTCACCACAATCAACCCATTCAGCTCACGTCTCAGCAAACCAATTCCACAATCTTACATGACGATTCTCAACCTTCCCCCACTAACACTACTCGAGCCTTTCCTTCAACCAGTTGGCCAAGCTCCGCATCACCAGAGCATCACATCCTATGCAAACTCGCATCAAAACCGGCATATCCAAACCCTAGAAATTTTTTGATCTATCTGTCACTTCCACTTCGGTTTCCACTTCGGTGCCCACACCCACGTCTTACTCTCAAGCTAGCAAACACACTCATTGGAGGACGACCATGTCCTCTGAATTTCTCGCCCTCCAAAAATAAGGAACGTGGTCGCTAGTTTCTCCTCCACCAAACAAACCCATACTCGACTGCAAATGGACTTTCAAAACAAAACTCCAACCCAATGGCCAAGTCGCAAGATATAAGGCTCGCCTCATTGCACAAGGCTGTTCTCAGGAATATAGCGTCAACTACATTGAGACATGTAGTTTTGTAGCAAAAATCGTCACCATCTGCATGCTCCTAACCGTTGTACTTCATAATCAATGGTCGGTCAACCAACTAGACGTCTCCAACGCCTTTCTCCACGGTGAACTTCACGACGAAGTATATATGAAATAACTGTCCGACTTCGTCGACGCTCAACATCCTCACCACGTATGCAAGTTCCGGAAATCCATATACAGGTTAAAACAATCCCCGAGACAATGGTTTCATCAGTTTACCAATGCCCTTCAATCACTCGAATTTATGAAGAAGTTTGAAGATGCCAAAGACAAGAAATGAATAAAAGTCATAGAAGTCAATTAGTCAATATATCTTTTACATTAATTCAATAATTAATAGAGTATATTTGACATTAATAAAATAATTATAATTATAATTGTTGCGGGCTAGAATATACGCGGCAATAGAGTTATAATTTTACATCTTAGTATTGCACGGATATCCAGCTCGCACACAGAGAACACAAGATTTTTTACGTGGAAAATCCTTGAAAGGGGAAAATTCACAGGGCCTAGCCCAGTTGAAAAGATTTCACTAGAACTTGAGTTGGTTACAATGGGCTTACTCGCCTCCGAGGGCGATCAGATTACAAGTTACAACTGTACAATAGAAGTTTGGGTGTCAGGTGATGTTCCGGCAGAAGTTCGGGTTTCAGGTGGCGGTCTGGCAGAACTCCGGGCCTTAGGTGATGATCCGGCAAAAGCAAGAGCCTCAGGTGGAGGTCCGGTGAAGACGAGGGCCTAAGGTGATGGTCCGGCGAATGTGAGAGCCTACGGTAGTGGTCCGAAAAAGGTGAGGGCCTCTGGCGGTGTTCCGGCTAAAGTGAGGGGCTCTGGCGGTGGTCTTGCGAAGGTGAGGGCCTAAGGCAGTGGTCCGGTGAAGGTGAGGGCCTCCGAGGGTGGTCCGACGAAGGTGAGGGACTCCGGGGGTGGTCCGGCGAAGGTGAGGGCCTCCGGAGGTGGTCTGGCGATGGTGAGGGCCTCCAACAATTAATATTTTTTCATCTTAATTATTATAAAATAATTAAAAATATTTATAATATGATTTTTATTTTTAAACTGTTATTAACGTACATTTAATGTACGGACATTTTTCACTAGTCTAATTAAGTATATTTATGATTCATTAATTATATATTAAATCATATTATCTTTTTGTTCTTCTCAAATAGAAATCCCGCCTCTCTGCTTTTCACGCGCATTAAATCTTGGCACATGATAAATCCTGCCCTTATTTGTCGAAACAAATGGGGGAATCACGTCATCCCGCCGCCTCATCTTCTCTGAGACGTATTCCTCTCCAATGTGCTCATTCGTCCTAGTCCGCACTCACGAGCATGTAACGTTTTTCTCATCTTCGTCTTCTTCTTCTTCTTCGTCCATGTCGCATTGTCAGCATAATTTTGGCTTCGTTTGAGACGATTTTTTTGTTAATTCTTAAAGTAGCATTCTAGAATAAATTTTTTAATTTTTTACTATTTTTTTCTACTAAAAAGTTGATTTAAGAAGCAAAAAAAGGTTGTCCGAAACGAAATTTTAGTTTAAATACTGCTTAAAGTCTGCTACCTAACAACCTCTTAAAATTTAATTATAAGATTTATAGTGCTCCTTTTTCACATTCAAAATCAACACAATGTAGAGTTTTAACACCTCGAAAAAATTAGTATTTTCATTTCCTTTTTTTATTGCTATTATCTTCCTTGAAATGTTAGAAATGACATTCTCTTTGCATTGTAGATTAATAATTTTTAAATTATTTATGTAGGAATTTGTATTAATCATACTTTTATATTTGATGGTTGCAGTTATTGCTGGAGCTTCACCAGTTTATAATGTGATTGCATACGGAGCAAAAGGAGATGGCAAGACAGATGACATTAATGTAAATTTTGTAAATTGTTTCTTTAAATTTATGCATTCTTCTTCTTCTTCTTAAGTATCTTTTTTTTTTTAACTTTTTTAATAAAACATGCAAATATTTTTCTAACAAATTAGTTTGTTCTCAATAATGGCTTTTTTGAATGCGTGGAAAGCTGCCTGTGCAGATCCTAGAAATTCATATTTGTTGTGACAGACAAAGGAGGAAAGAACTATTTACTAAGCAAAATAATATTTGAAGGGCCGTGTAGTTCTAGCTTAAATTTTTTGATAATTATGTCACTTTTAATCATTATATTATTTGGGTAAATATTATCTTGAGAAAGACTGTCATTATATCTAAATCAATCGAAATTTTGAATTCACAAGCAGATAAGTGGAGGACTTGTGGCTTCAAACAGATTGTGGACAAATCAAATCGATACGTGGATCGTATTAAAAAACATACCAAAAATAACTGTGCTCGGTGATGGTTTAATAAACGGCAAAGGCACCATATGGTGGGATTGCTTGTCAAAAAATGTAAGCTAATCTAATTATTAGCAAATTTATACTTATTTGTAATTTGCCTTCAAATCTTTGCTTAAATGGTTTCTATTTTCTTCTCATGCTTTCCACTGACAGCAATGCCGGTATGCACCATATGTAAGTATGAATATACCACTATTTCCAGTGTGCTTGATTGGAATCTTTCAAAACTTTTGAATTTAATTTCAATGTATTCAAGGTCAGATCAATTTCTTTTGAGATCAACTTAATATCATCTAAGCAGACCTTATCCAAAAGGGTATCCTTTAGGAGGCTAGGATTAGGAAGGGCTAAGGGATCAATGCCTACAGGTTCTAAATCTCCTAACTCAGGATTTAAGTTATGCAGGGAGTCTAAATCAATCAGTTCAGTTTCATCCTCAAAGAAATCCTCGTTCTCTATAATATCCTTAGTATCCACGAAATGGATGTACTCAGTTTCAGGTTCAAGGGACTTTTTCTTTATAATGCATTTTTTGGTTAGACACTGGTAGGGTCAAGAACTATGGAGGCTAAAGGTTGGGTAGCCTCTGAATTCTCCTTGAATTGAAAGGTGGTCAAGTCATCCACGAAGTGAGGTAAATTGGGAGTCACCACGCAGAGAGGACGCGTGATCAAATAAGGTTGATTGGGATGGCTAGGAGTCGGCCCAAGTGGGGAGTCATATGGGACCAATCCAACAGAAGATCTAATAGAGGGTCGACCATCAAGGCTATGAGAAAACCTACATGGTGGGGCAGCAACCTTGATGTTACTAAAGGATGGGTGCTCTCGACCACAGTAATGTCCATGGTTTGTCCCAACAAAAGAGGTAGGGTGGTGCTCTAGATGATGGTCACTAGGGGTATGGGTCTTGAAAGTACAACACCGAAAGGTTTAATGAACAAGGGGTGACCTAAGCTTAAAACCAGTTGGTTAGTCACTGGTAGAGGGTCGGTATTTTAAATTTAGTTCTCGCCTCATGTCTTTCCAATTAGAAGTAGGGTACTCACCGCAAGACTCTTTATGATCTTCCAACCTCATCCAAAATTGAAGAGCCCGACCTTTTTAGGTGAGACTTAGCGATGCTAAGCTGGTGGGACTCAGGGATATGACGTGATTCAAAATAGTCCTCTAACTGTCTAACCCATTCCCTAAAGTAGTAAGGGTCGAAGGAACCATCAAAGGTGGGTAGACGGTAATGTGACTCTAAGTGAGGTTGTTGCGGCTTAGGCTTAAGTCTAGATTGATAAGCAGTGTGGGGCATCTCCCGACTAACATGATTGATCGAGTGGGGTACGTACTTAGAGTGGGGAGAGTCAACATTGCTACTCCGTCATAGTTTTAATCATAGAGCCCACTAGGTTAATGTTATCATCTAACTTCTTTTGAAGTCCTATCGGGTCCATTGGAAAGTGCTAAATGATGTTTAATGAAAAGTGGGTGTTAGGGACATCATTTATGTCATACCCAAATGTTTCAAACAAAAGTACAATTTATGGTTACTATTCAGAAATAGTAATTTCTACAAAAAGGTATTCAATTTTTCGCATTAATTGTAGTTAATTAAGTGTTATGTTAACAATTTCATTGATTTATAATTTCAAGTTAATGTATTTCAGTAATGTATTGCATAAACACAATTAAGATAATCTGATTTTCTCATTTTGAGGACTTAACAATTATTGCTTGAGGTGGTCCACTAGTTTAGCACTTAGGTGAGTCAAGTTACTGTAGTACAACACTAAGTATTCCACTACTAATAAAATATTCATTCAGCCATCCACTATCTTTTTGCATGCAACCGTAGATTAGAAATCCAATGGCTAGGAACTGTTTGAGCGTAGGTATTAAAGCTATATTGGATAAGTTTTTCTTCCAGCAAGCTTTTACGCAACTTTGTGGTGAAGTCTCGGTGGAGAGTAAGGGAGCCGATACAAGGTAGGCTGTGCGCTGAAATCCAGCTGCTGTTGGAGGAAAATTATGAGGGAATAATTGGAGTTTTTGCTTGCTGTGAGAATGGGAGGCTCTTGTTAGTGGAATGCATTGCAAAAGAATTAACCGTAAAGAGTGGATTATAAGAGAAAGAGGAAATAAAGGTGAATTAGTCTTATTTCTTTGTTATGTTATGTTGTCTTGTAAATTCTTTGGATATCGATCAGGTTGCTAAAGGAGTTTATACCAATTGTGTTGTTAGGATTGTTATTTGGTGGATGAAGAAAAAAGAATCTGATTGCGAGGTAAGCTGCTAAAGGAGATGAATGATTTATTAAAACTATGGCAAATTAAATCATAGAAAATTTGGAATGTAAGAAATGTGAATCATGTAGGTAATTTACAAACGAAAAAGGATACGAGGTGCTGAATTCGAGGAGCCAACTCGACAAGGAGGTAAGAAATGCAATGTAATCTAATTAAATGCATGTGTCATTTTCGAGTGGTATAACTGCATGTCATTAAAACTGAAGGGTAAAAATTCAGTGAGGCAACTTTTATCTGTTAATGCGTATAGTCAAACAGTCAGGTATGAATGACGCCAGATAAATTTTTGTTTATCATGCAATATTATATGATCATATAAATGTTTTCCTAAATGTTAAATTAGAAAAAGTTTGCTATGAAATGATATGACACCTCTATGAAATTCGAGGCAAAAGGGACCTCTATGAAATTCGAGGCAAAAGGGACCTCAATTACTAGATTTTTATGTATTGCAATTTATTTCATAGTTGATTACTAGATTCAGTTAAGATTTCAATTATGTTTATTCTATCAATTTTGGAATCTAATTATTATTTAAATTGCATAATTTTATGAGCGTTATAGCTCACCAGATTTTTATTCTGGCTGTTGTTACAGGAAAGGGCAAGGATAAAGAAGAAGTTGAGTAGCTTCAGGTCACTTTAAAAACTTTATGTTTTGTGTTGTAATTGGTATATGAGTCTACAACAGAGGTAGACTGTTTATTACTATAATGTTTTGGAGTTAGTAGGGCTCTGTAATTATTCCAGGATGAATAAAATATGATATTTTGGGACACCTTCGAATATTGAGGAATAAACTGAGGATTGAATATATAGATTGTTGATGAGTTTTGATTTCATGCTTGTTGTTGGTTGTTACACCCTACATTGCAAGGGGGGGGGGTGATCTGGGGTGTGACAATTTAAACACTAAGTTTGGCTCACTTAAACTCACTAAAGGGTGCAGAAATTGTTTGGACAGCGAGCTACACTAGTGGTTTAAGTAACCTAGGCACTTAGGAAATTTGCTAAGGCTTGGACAGCACTAAGACACTCAATGAAATGCTTCTAATGCAACTAAATGGTGCAGATTTTGTGTGGACAGCAAACCACAATAGTTGGTGAAGATGCCTAGGTGTTTAGGATGGGTTTTGGGAAGTGGATAGCACCTAAACACTAGGTTAGGGTCACCAATAGCCCTCTAAATGCTGCAGAAATTTTCTAGACAGCAAGCTATAAAGATTGTTTAAGTAACCTAGACAACTAGGGATGTTATTGTAACAAGGAAAACACTTAAACAATGAAATAGACTTACTTAAAGTGATAAAAAAGGTGCAGGAATTAAATGGGCAGCAAGAAAAAACAGAGAATTAAAATAACTATGCAATGGTATGCATGCAAACGAGTTTTGGAAAGGTTAACTAGGCTCCTAGGAACTTCTAGCACGTGCAATACATGCTTACCATTCTCTGATACCAAGATGATGTGACATGTAGGAGCTACTTGAGAAATTATAGTGATTAATTGACCAAAACGTGTCGATATAGAATTATTGCTTGCAATAAAGATTGATTTTGGAATTCAAAAATTTTAACTTGCTTAGAAGATTTTAATTTCATTGACTGGCATATTTTTGGATGAGGCCAATTAACTTCGTAAGTATCAATTTGCATTTTAGAAGTATAGTAATACATTCTAACTCTGTTTTATTTTTGTTCCTGTCCGAACGTCTTCACAAGGTTCTTGAATATCTAAATGAAGTGCATGCATTATGTTGTGTGCTTGGCAATGATTTTGGCAAGACATTGAATGGGATTCATCCAAGCTTGCATGAGCCTGGTTTAGGGCAATCTACAAATATTAGTGATAGCACATTGGAAGGGCTGTCTCTCAAATGATCCAGAAATTAAAATTAGAGAAGAGGAAACGAACTCAAACGGTAATATTAAAAGCTCTACTTTCTTTTCTTGCTAAATACACTTGTAACTCTTATAAGTCCATAATTCCAGCTGCGGCAAGTCTTTGAATCCTTAATTGAACTGTGGAACCTGTTGGATACACCGGAAGAAAAGCGCAAGCATTTTGAAAAGAATTCATGCATTCTGAGGTCACAAGAGGAGGATGTAACAAACTCTGGTGTTCTATCGATCGAATCTGTCAAGGAGGTTTGTGCACAGCAACTTACCGTCTTCTTGAAACATTTTGGGTTATAAGCATCTTGGAAAGACATCATCCTTTCTCATGTTTCACAGATTGAGGCTGAAGTTTACCGGTTAACAGAGTTCAAAGCCAGCAAAATGAAAGAACTTGTTTTGAAGAAAAGATTAGAACTGGAGGAAGTGTGTCGGGAAGCACATATTGAACCTGATATGAGTACCGCATCAGACAAATGGTGTGCATTGATTGATTCTGGTGTGCATCTTATTTTCCATTTTTCGTAACAGGTTTATTCTTATCTGAATCTAATCAGTTAACCCTTTTTTCTGTGATTAGGTCTTGTGGATCCTTCTGAATTCTTGACTAATATCGGAGGTCAAATTACAAAAGCAAAGGAGGAATCAGATATCAGGAAGGATATTTTGGACAGAGTAAACAAAACAGTTGCTTGTGCAGAAGAAAGATGATTTGAAGAGTAAAACCAAGTAAGATGGTCTTCCCTCATGATGCTAAATTGATATGATGGGACATCGAAAGTCCTTTTTAGGTTTCAATTTTGAGGAATTATGCCTAAGTTCCTCATCTTTGGCCATTCCATTTTGGTTAAAATGCCTGATGTACAGACCATTTCCCTAGGGTGAGAGTTGTAATTTCAAATTTCTGCACATTTAGAAGAGTTATTTGGTCAAAGCAATGGAAGTGAACAACTTAGACATGCATGGTGCCAAATTTTAAGAACGCAAGTTTAGTTCTTGAACATTATGAATATATCTTTAAATTGTGGGGAACTTAATAGCCTGCTTAGTGTTTATAAGAAATTTCATTTGCCATGTGTACAGATTCTAGTTAGTAAGAGCTTATACTTTTTTTATGAATCGTGGTTTTCTACCTCATATGGATCTTAGCAGTCATGGCTTTGCTTGTTTGAGCTGATCTTACCATATGTTTGTTAAAGGTCAATTCCTTATAGTTCATCAATTGAATATTTGGTGCAATCTTTTCACTGTTCAGGAAGTTATTCAATTAAATCAGGTTTCATTTGGGACGGTTTTCTTTCTGCTCCTTAAAGCAGAAAGAAGCAATAATTTTAATAAAAAGCATTAATTCCTAGTACAAAATTTTTAATTTTTCAATTAAAAAACTACTTTAAGAAGCAATAATAAAGCCGTCCCAAACGAAACCTCAATCTCATAAAAGCTAGTATTCTATCCAAATAATTTTCATTTGAATTTAGTTTAAACTATGCAAAATCCAGCAAGCACTTTCATTATTTGTTTTTTCAGGTTCATTCTTGTTCAAGAATAGACTGACACCTTCTAGGATACAGGATGAGAACAGGTACAGAGCGGGAAGAGGTGCCCACTTGAACCTGAAACATGCAGAGAAAGCTCGGTTGACAGCAGTCAAAATTCCAGGTTTTTTAAGGTCTACACATCCTAGTTTCCTACCTTCATGTAAGCTGCAAATACTAAATTTCTTCCTTGTTCCAGGCATTGTTGACAATTTGATAAGCAAAACATTTACCTGGGAATGTGAAAGGAACATGCTTTTCTTTTATGATGGGGTTAGTTTGATTTACTTCTCATATAACTTCCGTAGTTATGCATGCATTTTTTGAAACTACTTCGTCATTCCTAGGCTCATCCGGCTTGGGCTTGTCTGGAATTACTCCAGAAATTTTAACTTTCTGAATTATTACATTCCAATTTTGCAGGTTCGTTTGGTCTCTCTTTTGGAAGAGTATAAACTTTCTAGACAACAAAAGGAAGAGGAGAAAAAGCGTTTTCGTGTAACTATACAATTCAGAATAATGCTTCGTAATCTCTACACACTCATAACAATATAAGCATTTAAGTTTCTTATTGCAGGATCAAAAGAAGCTGCAATATTTACTTCTC